TTTCTGCAGCAAATGTTAGCTGAAACGGAGAAATTAAAAGAAATCTATTTCGTCGAAACTTCAGCCCCATTTGGATCTTGGGGAGGAAAGCTTGGGGAAATGGTAACGAATTCTTCTTTTTTCATATTAATTTTGAGGTAACTAACTAAAAATCTCTTGCATCTAGTCATTTAATGTAATGGTAGAAGGAATCAAGAGCATGAGTCCGTTTTTGGCGCCAATACTTGAAATAACCACCGAGGATTATTTAAAAATGGTTGATAGCTTTGACGCGGAAACGAATGATCATGAAACAAGTATTAAATTTGTAAGGTGTTTTGGTCAGAAAAAAGAGTCTTAACCTAGAGAAAATAGACTTTGTTTCGTATATGTTGCTAAAACTAAAAATTCTTTACTTATGTAATGCCCATAAGCATTTTTTAATTTTGTGTTACGTTAAAGAATACAATAAGATAATACATGTTCGTTGGTTAAGCAAAAAGGAAAATAAATTTCAGCGATAAAAACGGATATAGATATGACGAATTAAACCAGTCACCTTGGAGCTTCTTTTTTACACGTCAGATTTACTGTTACATGGTAAAATTTCAAACTGAAAATTTAAAATATCTGCATCCGTATTTGCTGATTGAACAGTTGTGTATATGCATCCGTATTTCCGTTTTTTGATGGCTGATTGTGCATTGTACGTATGTATCATCTTCATGCAAATACATGTAAAACAAGATTTCGGCCCTACATTTATCATTGTTAGAATATCTTTAAAGTGAATATTGCACAAAGCGAGAATACAGTATGCCGTGTGCATGCACATGTGTTCATATTATGTTTAACCTTTTTGTATGAAAAAAAATTAATTACAATCATACCTGGTTTATATTACTTCATACGTCCAGCAACTTTTACAACTTAGAATTTATACAGTTGCTGCAACATAAAATCCCGTGATTTCGAATTAATCTCGTGATTACGAAATTCTAGCATATCAACAGCGATATTACCTTCCCTAATAATACGAATTTTTTTACAAGCAACCTTATTTGCATTCCAAAGAATGTGATTGCAACAAACATTCGTATCGTACATTATCCATAAACATTATTGCAGAATTATTACTAAATTCATTTTATGTTTTTTATAACAATCACTTTATCTTTCTTACAATTACAATT